CCCCCCCCGGCTGCGGGCGCTGCCGCCGGCTCGGGATGCCGAAAGCAAAGGGCGCTACCTCCTTGCGCGGGTCCTTTCGAGAGGGTCTCGCTTGATTGAGTAGCCGTGCGGAGAGGGGGCGTATCTGGTGTAATGTCATATTTATCGTGTTTTATTTCCTCACAATAAAACCGGAAGGGTTATTACCCCAGTGGGATCCTAATGACTTTTCCTGGTAACTGGCCTCTTCCATCAGAAGATTTTTCTGAGGGGGGAGGCAGGAGGGGGGACACTGGAAGGCAAGAGGACCTGAAATTGCTGAGGATGGTGAGCAGCCCAAAAGCCACCCTGGAGATGAAAGACACCACTGCATCCCTTAACTGCAGGTCTCCTTCCTGTCCTGGGCTTTCAGCCAAGCAAGAGCTTCTGCAGGCTCCGGCGCTCGCGCTCGGCAGGGCAAGGCCTCTCACGACCATGCCGCAGTCTATGCTGGGCCACGGTATGCAAACAACTGCGGTTCCTTCCTGCCGCCCGCGTGTCACCCTTCTCGTGGGCATCTCCAGCACACCGCCTTCGCTGACAGCAGGGCAGATACAGAGGGCAGGGGCATAGCCAGGATGGCAGAAGGCTCAGCAGATTAAGGGGGGTATCATTAGCTGAGCAGGGGATAACTGAGACAGCAGCGTGGGTGTGGGGGGAGGGACTGGCTCATCTCTATTCCCTTAAGCATTGAACAAGGATGGCTTGATCTCAGACCCAGGGGACGGAGGTACACGAGTCTTTCAAGTCCATGAAGAAGGGAAGGCAACATTCTGCTTCAAATCAGCAGGGAGCACAAAGCCAGAGTTGCCTCTCAAAGCAAAAGGGGAAGCAGCCGGGTCCTTGCTTCAGTGGGGAGCACACAGGGTTGCATTGAAACAGAGCCCTCTCAGGGGGTGAGCTCGCACCGCACGCCTGGCTGGAAGCCTGCTCTGCTCCCCTGGCAGAGGAGGACTCCTCCAGCCGGCCAGTTCTTCTCTTCCAACTGGAGCCGATTCAACAGCAACACGACTGAAGAGGTATGAAGAGCGCAACCTGGTCCCAGAAAAGGGCTAGAGTTCACTCGCTGATGGTTATACAAGAGGACCTAGGATGTCTGCAAACTCATTTGCTTCTGCAGTAGCTGCTCTCCGCAGCCATCTGGCCAGCTGCAACGCCTTAAGTACACGCGCTGTCTGCAGCCTCACATCCCAGAGCAAAGGAGGCAAGAGAGCCAATTTCAGCTTTACATTCCCTTAAAGAAAAAGTTCCCAGATCAACATCAGAGGCCACAAA